ACACTAATATGCTTTCCTTTAATAAAATTCCCAATCTTTCCGGCCCAATACCGTCGTACATTGGTAAGCTTACTAACCTTACTTATCTTACTATATCCGGAACCAATGTGTCCGGCCCAATTCCAGAATATTTGGGCCAGCTCACAAACTTGAACTCACTTACACTTTCCTTCAACAAGTTTAATGGGCCGATCCCTAAATTTCTAGGCCAACTTCAGAGCATGGATTTTCTTGACCTCTCTTCGAATTTCCTCACCGGCCCAATTCCTATGGCCTTAGCCCAATTAACCAATGTCACAATTATTTCCCTTAACTCAAATCGGTTATCCGGTCCAATACCCGATTTTATAGCCCAAAAACTCAAGAATTTAGTAGTACTACAGCTTGATTTCAACTCTTTATCGGGCCTAATCCCGTCATCTTTGGGCTTCATGCCCAAACTCCAAACAATCTCGGTTAAAGGGAACCAATTAAGGGGTCCGATCCCAAATTCGTTAGGTCGCGGTAATTTAGTTTTTATTTATCTTAGTCAAAATAAACTAATAGGGAATGCCTCTTTTTTGTTTGAAAAGGCCAATTCCAATGTTTTGATTCTTGAGGTTGCTAACAATCTTTTGAAGTTTGACTTCACTAATGTGGACTTGGCCCCAAGGCTATCAAGGCTCAACATAAGTCACAATATGATATATGGATCTCTCCCTAAGAGATTCGGTTTATTGCAACCCGACTCTATTGATGTGAGCTATAATCAACTTTGTGGCCCAATACCAAACGGTCGACGTTTCAAGCGGGTTGACCCGGTCATATTTGCTCATAATAAGTGCCTTTGCGGTGGCCCATTTCCTGGTTGCAAGTAATCATGCATCAATACTTTGAAAAGTTGTCATATGGTTTAAGGCTTTTCTTATGTTGTTTTGCTTCAAGTTTAGCAACTGTGTATGATTATTTTGTTTAACAATTATTAGTTTTCTATTGCTGTATTCGCTAATAATGATAAAAAAAAAAAAAAAGTGTGAATTTCCTTTTCAAATTAAACTTTTTAAAAGAAAAAAGATAGCGATAAAATTACATACGATACTAAGCAAAAGTACTCAAAGTTTTTATAAAAGCACAAAAATTATTTATAGGAGTATATAAAAGTTGAAAACAAATAATAGCATAAAGAACATAAACCAAGTACAAAAGTCCCCAAAGAAAACCTTAAAAGAATTGGATTGTATTAAAATAATTTCAGAATAAATGTATTAATTGACAAAAGTGAATTGTATTACACATCTTAAAACACTCTAAACCAACCAAAGAAAACCTTAAATCCCCGATTAAATTTATGTTTTTGCTGTGCCAATTAAGGCAAATTATGCCATTCACACAGCCAAGGGAGATAACTGCAAACAGATCTCGATTGCAGACGAGCACAGCTTTACTGTCACGTTCTAGATCAAGTGTGATATCCCAAGTAAAAACGTCTCCTTGCTGTATAGATAAAAGGCCGAAATAGTCAGAATCAGATACCATCCTACCAGCATGATACACAAAGTGAGGCATGTTGCCACCCCCTTTGCAAATGGAATGTTGAGCATGGTAGTGCTTCCTGATGAAGTTTAAGTCATCGATGAGGGTACGCCATTGTTTACTCACACACCTAAATCGTAACAAGTCTTGAACTTGAACCCTTGAAAGTATGTCCTGTACCAGGTCATCAGGAACTAGAGGGATGCACTTTTCTACAATGGGCTTCATTTATTTAATTAAGATTCCCTGTAACTATGATTAAATATAACAGCGATATTAATCTAGCAGTGTCAGATCAGGATTTTATGAATAGCGGTTCATAACCAAAACAAGCCCTATAAAATACAGCAACGTTACTTTATGCTCTGATATGTTTTCTTTTTGTAAGAGAAGCTTGTAATAATCCTCTTTAAATCATTCCGAAATAATTTTATCAGATAACACAAGCCAATAATATTGTCAGATACATTCATAATACTTATTGATATTGAATTATTATTAACAAATAATTTAACTAATTGTTTTTATTATTATGAGCAATATTTTAGACATGTAGACAACAAAGTCAACCAACAAATAACTTCAAATATTCAAGTTCAATTCACCCATTCACATAGATAAGCCTCAAAACTCCAACAATGAATTCTTAACATATTGGAAGTTCAATTTAATGATAAAAATAGCCGGATTAAAAATTAAAAAAATATAGATCCTTGATGCTTTAAAATAAAGAAAAAAATCAAATACCCACAAGTGAATTGTTGTGTAACATTAATTTAATAATAATTAGATGCAGTTTCTTTCAATGGGCTGAATCTTCGATTGCTGGTAAAATAATTCGGATTGAAACATCTTATTTCAATTTGCCGGGAAGAACAGAAGTGCTCAAACGAATGATCAAACAAAATTTGACACCAAAAATATAAACTATAGCCTAAAATCAGTATAAACAAGCAAATAATTTAAGATTAAGATTTGGGGAAGAACATCAATATAACCTTAAGTGATGAATGAAGTGATGATTAGAGAGGATTCCGAGCTTTAGTGGAAAGAGACAAAATTCTTCAAAAGGTGAAGATTTGGAAAATCAACGAGTATTGTGTGATATAACTTATAAGTATATAACTTTTTTTTTTTTTTTTTTTTTGTTTTTTTTTTTTTTTTTAAACAATTGAATTTACTAACTTTTAAAGTATATGTGGCTTGCGACATTGTGTGGCCAGCCACCTTGAGCCCGAGTTACTTGGTTAGTGTTATATACAGCACAATAATTTAATCAATATATTATTGTATGGTGTAATTATAAATATATATATATATATATATATATATATATATATATATATAAAATTATCCTTACATGAGATTTATAGATAAAAATGGTGCATCGCACGGGCTTTCATCTATTATTATTATTATTATTATTATTATTATTATTATTATTATTATTATTATTATTATTATTATTATTATTATCTACTCCGCTTAATTCTTAAATCTTTATTTGTTTGTAAATTAGTAATAATTAGATAGATTAATTACTGATTTGTTTAATTAGTTTTGATATATTGTTGAATACTTGAATTGTTGACAAATTGAATTTTAGAAACTTAGAATTCAAAATTTGGTCAGAAAAAAATTTCTTGGTCAAATTTGTGTTTATTAGGGACTTGGGATTTTTGTTATATGTGTAATATTGATTTTTTGCAATAGAATTATAGATTTATCATTTATAGAAGTACTAATATATTAGCACGCTTTCTAAGTATAAAACTCGAAAAATGCTTTTGTAGGGTTTATTTTTTATTTTGTAACTGTTTAATCCATCCATTTGCAATAAAAAAATTTGAACTTATGTATTAAATCTATAATATAATTGTAGAGTCGTTTTAACAAGAGCCCTCCAAAACCCCAATGCTTAACTCTCATGCATTTGATTTTTTTTTTAAGGAAAAAATAACTTTCAATTTCACTACTCTATTTTTATCATAATATCATTTTAAAAAAAAATCAATAACTACCCATTCACTATTTCTTTTTTTTGTTTTAAACGGGAATACTACTTACATTTCACTTTATTTGTGTGTATTTTTTTTGGGTACGTAGTATAACATATGACATGCATTAGCACGAGTATACAGTTCCTTTATCAACAATTCACTATATCACTCAAAATCCCCAACATTTCACTTTGTTTTACGAGTATTTTTTTGGTACATAGTATAATATATGTCATGCATTCGCACGAGTATACAGTTCCTTTATCAACATTTCACCATAATACTCTAAATCCCCAACCCTTCAATTATATGCATTTTTTAGGGACTACCCTCCAAACATTTTCCAGTTCTTTAATCATCAAAAACAAAAAAAATGTACAATACGATTTTGTGCAACTGACTTCAGCGAATAACTACTTACAACAGAACTAATTATGTAACTCCTAGAGCAAGACACTAATCCATATGACAATAACTGAGTAACACGAGTAATCCCTGTAACACTGAACGGGTAACCTCTATAACTTTGAAAAAGTAAACCCCATAATAGCATTGCGTGGCCACCGACATAAAAGAATAAGACCCTGTTTTTTGAGTTTCTAAGCAAAGCATAGAATACCATATTTCAGCATAGCACAGCAGGCGTCAACACATTATTAGTACGATTATTATTAATACTCAGTACATCAGAGCTAATTAGGGTTTAATTAGGGTTCAATAAAACCGACCATTCTAAAACCGACCATTACAGATCAAGTCTAAGGGTCTGTTCTCTTACGTTGAAATTCAGTTCAGTTCAGTTCAGCTGAGTTCAGTTCAGTTTAGTTCAGTTTAGTTTAGTTCAGCTCAATTCAGTTCAGTTCAGCTCCTACTTTCCTTCTCTTATAAAATATTCATTTCAGTACAGTTCAGTTCAGTTCAATTCAGCTGAGTTCAGTTCAGTTCAGTTCAGTTCAGCTGAGTTCAGTCAATGAGAACATGCCCTAAATTACAACATCATGATCAACTTTTCACATTTTAGATATATTTTTTCTTATATATCCCGTGCATTTTACACGGGTACACTCTAGTATATAATTAATATATGAGCATCGTTTATTTTTTAAGATTCCGAACCCAGAGTTTGGAATTCCTGGATACGCCACTGATTTTCAAGAAATTGCTTGAAGGATTTTCCCACCTTCCAATTTCTTATCTCTTTTACTATCAGATTTCTTAATTGTTCTTGCTAATTACTTCAATTATCAACCATTTGCTTGCTCTAACAGTTTGTTTGTTTATTTTCTACCATTGTGAACTTGTAACCACTAATTAATTTTAAAAAATGATGTATGTTTGCCTTTCTATATATATACTCTTGATCTGATTCATGGCATGTTTGGTGATAATCAAGTAGAACAACGATAATGTTGAATTATTCTTGTCCAAAAAAAAAAAAATGGTGTGTAAAACTTCAATTCCCCAAGTTTAACCAAATTAAACAAGTCATAACACTAATATGAAATTAGATTTCCTTGGCATTACAAATTTTCAACATTTAACCAAATCAAACAAAGAGAAGTAGATATATATTAATGTGTTTTAGACTTGATAAATCCAAGTAACTAACACTCATACCTTATTTTACCAAGATTATCAATACATGCATGCTAACATGAAAAAGAACACCATCCACACATAACCAAAAAAGACTAGCTCAATAACTCTATCTCTTAGATCGATTCTCGGTGTTTTCGGGCCGAGCCGTGTTAGTAGCAACCTTAGCAACATCCAAGGCATCAACCTCAGCCTTTTTCTTAGAGTACAACACACCATACCCTATAATAGCCGTTATAGCAAAACCAGCTATACCCATAGTGGCATAACTGAACGGCAAACGACGTCGTTGGTGTAACACCTCCCCGGCACCTCGGCCGTGTCCCGGGGATCGTTGCGACCCCTCGACACCCGCGGCCTTGACTTGCTCGGACGTCATCTTATGGGTGTCAGCCGTTTTCCTCCAAGATTGATCACCACTCTTGTCGGTTGGATCTATCTTTACATCACCTCTATCAACTTCTGGTCCTCCCCAAGACATGATAATGATCTAAATTAAACCGTTTTTTTTTTCTAGTGTTTGATTGTTTGTTGCTCAAATAAATTATCAAAGTTGTTATATGATGTAAATTTAGTGAAATATAATTATAGTACAATTCTTGAATTGTTAAGGAAAGGTTAGTTTACGTGGCTAGGAGCAAATGTAAAAATGGAGTGTGATGAAACGTGGGTTGTAGGAAATGTTGCCGCGTTGTTGTTGTAGCGTTTTTGTTGTGGACGTGTGTCTTTTTTTGCTATTTTTGATGTTTGGGAATTTTGTGTCTTTTTTTGCTATTTTTGAAACTTTATTAATTGCTCAAAAATAGTAAATTATACGTAGTATAGTGTGTGAAATTGTGTGTATAGACTTTCGAAATGGCCCAAGACAAAAAGTTATGGGCCAATGTGGCTGTGGCTTGTGGGCACAATCTAATTTGATATTGGTCGATAGAGCTAGTATCTCAATTTTAAATTATTTGTCATATAATTTGAACTGGGGACAACATTCAAGTTTGTGGTTTGTGTTTAGAATGATTTTTAATGAGTCGGATGTCAGGTCACATCATATCTGGATAATGTCAAATTGTTATTTTATTTGAATTTCGTTAGATTGATTCAATTTCAAGTACAACAAATTGAGATTCGAATTGATTTCGAATCAAGTAGGGTTTAATTTGGGGAAATCTTTGAATGTGAGTTTGAGTCGATTTAGATGTGGGAGGGGTTTGTACCACTTTCTTTAGGTTAGATCAAGTTAAGATTAACCTAATGTTTATTTAGGGTCACTTTTTAACTTTACTGCTACATGCATATTAAATTGTTAAGCTCAAATCGTACAAATTCAGGTACACATAAAATTCAGATCGGATATGCATCAAGTTTGATTGAGATGAGATTTTTAAACATCGTTATACTTCATACATTTTAAAAAAAACCAATTAATTAGACTAATCAAGTCAAATGTAGGGCCTGTTCTCATACGTTGAAATCCAATTCAGTTCAGTTCAGTTCAGCTTCTAATTTCCTTCTCTTATAAAATATTCATTTCAGTTCAGTTCTGTCAATGAGAACATGCCCGTAATGTTGGGATGTTAAATACAACAATTAATGAAAAATCCAAAACATTAAGGGTCTGTTCTGTTCACCTTATTTTCACTTATTTCAGGTTTAATAAGTTCAGATAAGTTCAGATAAGGGTTAATAAGTTCAGATAAGTTCAGGGTTAATAAGTTCTAAATTAACGTTCTCCTCACCTTATTTCCACTTATTATATTTATATAGAGTTATTACTAATTAAGATTGCTTTTCACTTTTTTTTTTTTTTTTGTAAAATTTTATGTGTTTTATTATCATGATTTCATATAAGAATAAAGTAACATTTGCATAAAAATAAAATTAAAGTAACGTTATACTCATAAGTTATTGCAACATACACTTTTGCTTGTTTCAGTGTTTATTTTTTTTAATATTTGAAATTATCAAAATGCTAATATTTTCATATTTTATTGCTTTTATTTTAATTTTTTTTTTTGGTGTTATACCTGATTCACCCTTTTGGGCTAATATTGTTATATATATACTCATATTACCAATATGTTACACAATATGTTTCAAGAATGACAAATAATGTCTAATAAAGTCTTATAAGTGTTAATAAGGTTTAATAAGGTCAAATAAGTGAAAATAAGTGTTAATAAGGTGTAATAAGTTCAGATAAGGGTTGATAAGTTCAGTTAAGTTCAGATAAGTAATAATCAGGTGAATAAAACACACCATAATTCACCCAAGTTAATTTAATTAAATTAAATTAATCAAACAATCCGTTTTTACTTTCTATGACATCAAAAACTTTCGACCGTTCCACCTTTCTAAACCGTTACATCAACGGACAAAAAACAGAGCCCCATAACATTTCACCTGAATTTCAGTCAAAGATGGACCCCACTTTAACTCTAACATCATCAAATCCCCTTTTTCTTAACGGCTAGTTTCCACCATTTTCACCTATAAATACATCCATTTCTTCTTCTTCCTCTCATCATCACTCAAACATCTCTTTCTTTTAGCTCTCTAATTTTCCCTCTTTCTTCTTAAATCCAAGAATTTCCTAAATTCTTCTTCTAGAATTCTAAAAAATTTCATTTTTTGAATTTAATTAAGCATAAAAAAATCAATGGCTTCTAGAATCTTCTTCTCTGTTTCTTTGGTATTGGCAATTGTACTCTTTTCCAGTTTTGCTGAAGCAAAAGATCATCTTGTTGGTGGTACTGCTGATGCTTGGAAAGTTCCTTCAGAATCTGATTCACTCAACAAATGGGCTCAAAAAAACAGATTCCAAATTGGTGATAATCTTGGTAAGTTTTAACATTGATTTCTCTAATTTAATCAAACATTAATTTCATCTGTTTCCTAGTTTTACATTTTAAGTTACAATTCAATTAAAATTTTGTAACTTTTTCAGTTTTGATTCAGAAATTCCACCTGGGTTTACTCAGAATTTGTTTCAATTGAATAAAAATTGCAACTTTTTCCTCGTATTAGCTCAAATTCTCATCTGGGTCTGTTCAGTTTTATTTGCTTTTGATAAAAATCAAAACTTTTTTCACAATTTTTGGCAAAAATCTTTTTATTTGATTGTGAATCACAATTCAGCTCAAAATCGTTTCAGATATTAATTTGTATGTGAAAAAAATCATTTTTTTTTTCATAAGCTCAAAATCTCATCTGATTCACATTTTAGCTCCAAATCTTCTCTGATATATTTTACGGGGTGAAAAAAATCAAATCTTTTTCACATTTCAGCTCAAAATCTCATCTGGGTCATATAAGATTTTAATCAATAATAGAAAAATCAAAACTTTTTTAAAATTTTTTTAAATTTTTACTGTGATTTATTGTTCTAACTTTGAAATTTCATGATTTTGGTTGGCAACAGTATGGAAGTATGACAACAAGCAAGACTCAGTATTGCAAGTGACAAGAGAAGCATACTTAAGCTGCAACACCAGCAGTCCAGTAGCAGAATACAAGGATGGTCAAACCAAGTTTGAACTAAAGAAACCAGGACCATACTACTTCATCAGTGGAACTCAGGCTAACTGTCAGAAGGGTGAGAAGGTCATTGTGGTTGTTATGTCTGCCCAAAGCAGGCGGTCCGGTGCCGCTTCACCGGCTTTTGCCCCTTCTCCTTCCCCGAATTCGGAAGCCCAGACTCCTGCTGTTGCTCCCACTAGTGGTGCTGCAGGGATCAAGGGTAGTGGTGTGATGGTTGTTGTTGGGGTTTTGGTTGGGTTTCTTATGATGTGATTTTACTAGTTTATGAAACAATGTTATTACATCTAGGTGAAGAATTTTATTAACATAAAGGCAAAATCTTTGGATTTTCCTTTTCTTTTTAGTTTCTTTTTTGGTTGATTATCATATGTAGTAGTATGTGTTCTCTGAAGTTATATCAATTAATTTATTCTTTATTTGTTTTATGATGGTCTCACTCCTTAATCTGCCCCTAATTACTCTGTCTATGTTAGCAAGTAACTGAATATTGTTTTTATAGTTTTTCTGCAAAACAAAGACCCGAATACAAATTTCATTCGTTGTTCTTATGGTTAAACTAAATCTGGAATGTAATGTAACAAATGTTTATCAAAATTGATTTCTAGGTGATATTCCTTGAGGAAGTTTGGTCATTACAATCATTTCTGTAACTGTCTTTTGTGATTCACGCTTTTAAACAATTGACAGCATCTTTCGCGGTATTTATGGGAAACTACCACGTTCTGTGCTACTAACAGAAATTGTTGTAACAAAAAATGAGGCATAGTTTTCAGACTTTCAGCATGTGTTTTGTGTTTTTGGACAATTGCCAGCATTCAAATGAGTCTTTTACGGTATATATATGGAAGAAAAAAAGTTGGAACATAATTCCATATCTGAGTATAGGGAATCAGGACACAGGATCACGAAAACACGAGACACATATACTGGCATATAAGTATGGTTTAAGAGTTGATCAAATGTGACAAAGAGAACCAATTTGAGTGTTGCCACCTGCCAGCACTCAGCATAATCAGGGAACATGTTGAACATTTTTAGTCACTCTTAAACGTTCTGTCTGTAACATAAGTATTAATTGGGAAAGAAACTAGAACATAGGTTTTCCTGGTGGAGGTAAGCAGAATAGAAATGTAAAAGCAAGAAAATGAGGGCTAGAGAAACAAGAAATGAACCTGTATCCTTAATATGAGGCATAGATCATGCTTCATGCACGGCAAACCGCCTTAAGAAAAAAAAAAGAGCATGTGAACATAGAGGAATATGCATCAGCATGCTACATCAAATCAATACAGATACACCATACACGAATTGAGTCCCGCCACAAGGAAATGTGAGACATGTTAATCTCGTCAATTTGCAAGATAGCCATCTGTTAAATTGTGATACACAAAATTTTGGTTAACTTAGAGAACTTTCATCTCAAAATCCAGCTGCTTACCTGATACTTTGATGCAGCTACTGTCATGCATGTGATCAACTAAAACGTCAATTTATGTTATCAGCTAGAGTTGTTTATAAGAGAATATTGTTTAGATGTTAGACGATTGTTGTATTGTTGGCATCAAAGTAGTAGACTCCAAAGGATCAGAGATTAAAAAATGTTCATATTAAGTGACTAACTTCACAACAAAAACTAAAGAAAGCAGGAAATGTGCATATTTTTGGTCTGAAATTTACAACCTTATTTGTCCAATCCTAGTTACGTACGATTGAATGACCATTTACTTGAACCATATTAGTCCCACGTATATTAAAAGAACAAATAGTCAAAAACCATAATTCGAAATAGTAACAATATTATGAATCAAGGGGCATGACTCATGTCTCATGAGATTATATAGCTAAGAATCTAACAAATACCACACCAAACCAAATTAAAACTCAAAATATGAATCAAGGGCTATAAGAGTTGACTAAGAATGACAAAATGTACAAGTACAACACGATTGGGAAATCAAAGAAAAAATCATTAATACTCGGTCTCTTTTTGTTTTTTTAATTTTTATAATTTTTTAAGTAGGTAAGATGAATTGTCTTATCAGACTGGAACCTCTCACAAGTCAACCTGATTAAGATTACTCTCTCCCCATTTGTATGCCTCCTTAAAATATACGACTAAAGAGTTGACGAGAGCACTAATCCGTATGAACGAGCCGTTAATCTTGATTCGTGAGACTAAACCGGTGCACCCCCTCGAGGCCGAGTATCTCCTAAAACAATAACCCCCCTACCACCCTCCTCAACCCTATTTCACTTCATATCATTTCCTTTCCCTTAAACCCTTGAGTCCTTGACAAACCATAGTCATGAACTCTCTCCGGCAACACTTCTCCGCCCACAACGCCGCCTTCCTCCGCCGCACTCTCTCCTCCACCTCCGCCGCATCTTCCGCTCCCTCTCTCTCTCCTCCACCACAACCACCATCATCAACCTACACCCTCCCAACCTCCTACAAAGTAACCCCACCAATCAAACCATGGCCTAAACACCTCTCCCACAAACGCCTCATCTCCATTCTCACCCGCCAACAAAACCTCGATCTTGCCCTTCAAATCTTCCACTTCGCCGGAAAATTCCACCCCAATTTCTCCCACAACTACGACACTTACTTGACCATCATCACCCGCCTCGCTCGTGCCCGCCAATTCCGTCATTGCGAAACCCTTTTGACCGAATTGCAGAACTCCCCCCTTAAATGCGGCGAAATTGTGTTCGTTACTGTTATTCGGAACTACGGGTTCGCGGGTCGTCCTAAGGATGCTGTTCGGACTTTTCTGAGGATACCCGATTTCGGGGTTAATAGGTCAGTTCGTAGTTTGAATTGTTTGTTGAATGTATTGGTACAGAATAAGAAATTTGATTGGGTTTATTTGATGTTTAAGAGTTGTAAGTCTAAATTTGATGTTATTCCCAATATTTTTACTTGTAATATTCTTGTTAAGGCGCTTTGTAAGAAGGGTGATGTTGAGGGTGCTGTTAAGTTGTTGGATGATATGCCGGGTATGGGTATGATGCCGAATGTGGTTACTTATACTACCCTTTTGAGTGGTTATGTTGGAAAGAGGGATTTGGTGGGTGCTAAGAAGGTTTTTCAGATGATTTTGGATAGAGGGTGGGTGCCTGATGTTACGACTTATACGGTTTTGATGGATGGGTATTGTAGGGATGGGAGGTTGAGGGACGCGGTTAAGGTTATGGATGATATGGAGGAGAATGGGGTTGCGCCGAATGAGATTACTTATGGGGTTTTGATTGAGGCGTATTGTAAGGAGAAGAAATGTGGGGAGGCGTTGAATTTGCTTGGTGATATGTTGGAGAGGAGGTATGTGCCAAGTTCGGCGTTGTGTTGTAAGGTGATTGATGTTTTGTGTGTGGAAGGGAAGGTGGATGATGCGTGTGCCCTGTGGAGGAAGCTTTTGAAGAAGAATGTCACTCCTGATAATGTTATATCGAGTGCGCTTATTCATTGGCTGTGTAAGGAGGGGAAGATTCAGGAGGCAAAGAAGTTGTTCAATGAGTTTGAAAGGAGTTCGGTTCCTAGTGTGTTGACTTATAATATGCTGATTTCAGGGTTGTGTGAGGCAGGGGAGTTGTGTGATGCTGGAAGGTTGTGGGATGATATGCTGGAAAAGGGGTGTACTCCGAATTCATTTACTTACAATATGTTGATTAAAGGGTTTTGTAAAATTGGAAATCCTAAAGAGGGGTTGAGAGTTTTGGATGAGATGTTTGATAAAGGATGTTTGCCTAATGAATCAACCTATAGAATATTAATTGAGGAGCTCTCTGGTTCAAATTTGGACACTGAAATAATGAAGTTGTTATCCAGTGTTTCTAAAAGGGGAGGGAAAATTGATGCTAGTTCGTGGGAAGTCATTCTCACCAATGCTCTCGCTAATGTGGACACTGGGAAAGTTCTTGATAGTGTTTTACCACAGGATTCTTTGCCATGATTTTTCATGCTGAATCTCTCTGTCACATATACATGTCTGTAGCCACTGTGTATCAAAACTGAGTCTTTGAAGGGTAAAGAACACTCCTTACCTGCTAGCTCGTGCCTTTTGAAGAAATATCAGTGCCAAATGCTACTAGTGGCTTGGTTATTGAATATATCTATCTTATGTAATACAGAATCAGGGTAATATATCTTGTTTGGATCTTTGCTGGGTTGCTCAATTATATGTGAAGGCTTTCATGGGTGATAATTAATGTGGATCATGCCATCTATTTCTGTTAACATTCTTTAATCTTAACAAAAAAAAATATGCATTGGATTTCTACTCAAAGCCTTGATGGGCTTTCTAAACTGGGTGATTATTTCAGACGTGGGCCTGAATATTGCATTTCGTTGTTACATAAGGATAAGAGTCTTGGTTTGTTCTGGTGATATCTTTTTAGAACATTGTGTCATTGGAATACAATCAATACATACATTACTGCAGATAGCCTTGATTTTCCTAATTGTCATCAAGGTTTACATTGACTTCATTGGGTTAGTAGTTAGTTGAGCTCTATGTGGTTTCTTTACTCAGAATTACATATTATTTACTGCATACATTGAAAGTTGGTTTTTAGTCTGGCTAAGGATGTGGTAGTGGGAAGTTATACATGAAATGGTGGGAGGAAGTCATTAAACTATAGTTCATCCATCATCATTGTTGTGGTCGTTTCAGCATGCTTAATAGGGACCTATATCACAATTTCATTCTTAGCTCTGCAAGGATTTCAGTATGTCTGAATGGTTTGACAAAGGGTGTCAAACTGAAGAGTGTAAAATTGATTCCAAGAAATTGCAGGATAACTCAGGTGATTTGCCTGAGGATGGCCTTAATGGTAATGTAGACCAGGCAAGTGGGAAGATGTGAGTGCCTCAAAATCATAGAAATCGGAAGACATTTCAGGAGTTTGAGGAAGCTGGTGAACTGGATAAAGAGGAGAAGATACAGAATGCCAACTCTGATGATTATCAGAGGATTTCTTTCGCTTAGATAAAAGTTGAGTCCAGAAAGGATGAAGTTACCAAACATATAGAAGAAAATTCAATGTTAAGCACTGAAGAATTTGAAGCAACTGATCCGATGAAGATGTTGAAACTATTGAAATGCAAAACAGATTATGATGGAGAGATACTAGGTATGGAGGATTCTGATGGCACAAAGGAGAAATAGATGAAATGAAGGGTGAAAGCAACAATCAAAGGCTGGTGTAAACTAGTGTTTGTCCAGATGAAAGTAAAGAAGCTAGGAAAAGAACAACAGAAATACGGTTTCATGACCAACTCAACCAAGCAGAGTTACTGAATAAATTTTCCACACAAATCGAGGCTTGGTCGACTCTAGCAGGAGTGTCAGAGGAACTGAAAGTTTCCGAGTACTCGTTGATCTAGGAATAAAAGGGATACAGATGGAAACTCTGTAAGGTCACTGCTAGTCTGGAGTATATTCCTTGCCTTTACAACCTTCAAGCAATCAGAAAATTTCCCGGAACAAGTCAATGTGTGCACTGAGAGAGTCATTGCCCTCAAGCTCTTGTCTGTCTTGTTCATCTGTCCAAGGGGTATAAAAATGTAGTGAAATGGTCTAAAAGCATAGGGTATGCCAATGTGCTTTGTGCAGATATGGTTTGCCAATTTATCCCATACTAAGCTTGTTGAACTCGAAGGATATCAAAAATGGGTAAGGGTTTTATGGCCATTACATTACATCTGGTGTCCTGGTGGTGAGACTTAGTTTAAGCTTGTTGCTATGTGTTACATTGCTTTACTGCATTACTTACCTTACCTAGTCACCTATTCATATTTTGTGACGAGCTAGCATTATTGCTTAGGTCTTTTTTTATTGCATACTTACCTCTTCTAGTAATCTATTCATATTTCATGCCGAGCTAGCATTATTACTGAGTATGAATCTTAGTGAAGCATCACTTGTTATTTCTTGACATGGTATATAAAATCATGAATGATTCTTTGGTTTGAGGTTTTTTGACTTATACATTCTGCTATACACGTCATTCTATAATAATGCACCATGTAGAGTTTTACACTTCCCAATGAACAACTTTGCCTCCAAGATCTATAATTCTAATTACATAAAAATTATAAGAAGTTAATATTTTGAAAGTAAAAATCGAGATGAATCCAACAAGTTGCCACAAGACTATATCTTTCTTTATGTATGAATTACTATAGATGGCCAAAGGAGAGTGAATAGTGTAGAAGTCCAAATGGTGAAGTATTTAAGGAATGGAAGGAAGTTTTGTGTTTTATTCTCCTTGCAGGTTGAGTTTATGTTGCTTTATCCCTTGGTGAATTTCTGTTATACCTCCTGATTACTTGGATAAAGTAGGACTTTTTCTTGTTTTTTCCACTGCTTGTAGCATATTGGTACTTTGTTACTCAAATATACTACTGGTCTGTCTTAGTAATTGTGTGTCTTCATTAATTGTAACTTAGTGGACCTGTTTCTAGCTTAATATCTGGAATCCAGACTGTTCTTGACATTGTTAAATAAGATATGTTTAATCTACAGAGCGCTCCTGATTTTGCTATTTTTTTGAAAGAGAAGCATTCACTATGTCACTTGCTTCTAAGGATAAGCATGAAGCACAGGTTCGATTTGCTTTTTAAAGAGGTATACGTATACCTGCTGTATTTTGCTGAAAGAGAAGTACTCACTAGGGTCCCTTGGAATGTTGAAGGTATTTTCTACATCTTGAATTCAACTTTTGCCTTATATTATTAAAATGCTTCTAAAGTTGAAATATATTTAAGGTGGTAAACTGTTTTTTGGAACTGTATTGTATCTGTGACCTGGAGGTTATTTTGTATGGTCTGCCAGTCCAATTTAGCATAAAGAATCCGAGGATGTGAGCATTTGGAAGGGTGCATTATTTCATATGGTTCAACATATTTCACTAATTATTCAGAAATCTGGTAGTAATTATTGAGTAATAGACTTAGAGACCTATGCTTGCAGCTATGTGCAAGCTGACAAAGTCTTATTTCAGGAATTGGTAACCGCTGCTTAGCCATTGATAATGTTTATCAGCTTTCACTATACTTCCATTTTTCTGCTGTTTAATACAAATGATGGAGTAGGAACAGGGAATGTTTATAAACTTCTACATTGATTTATATGATTATACTGCAAAGAAACTACATTTTGTGGATTAGGAGTGTTCAAGCAATATCTTCACATTATGATTGAAGGAGCCCTCCCCTATACGGTTATACTATGTAAGGCAACTTTAAGATTGTTTGCAATATAGGGATGCATCTTGCTCTGTATTAAATCTATTAATGTGAAGGGGAAGCATATAATTGGCAATTTAGGTAAAAAAAAATTAAAATTGGAAGTACATTTGGATGACGTAGCCAAAAGCTACAATAGTTTCACCAGTATAAGATTCAGTAGAACTTTAACTTATCTTGTTTTGTTCAATTTGTACCCAATTTTCACAAGTATCAAGAAAAACAGCATAAACCAACCCATAACTGATCCAGTCATTTGTTTACTCTAACCAAACGTGAGTGGCAGAGATACTTTTTTGGGGGAAATTAAAGTCCGTTATGATGATATTTTCCAACAGAAGTAGTGAAATGATTGTTACAAAAAGTACAAGTAAATGAAATAAGGGGAGTAATATAAGTTTTAAAATTTTCCTTCAGTCTTTTGTAGTCCCTTGGGTGTTGATAACTTGATATTTTAGTTTCATACTATATATCTCAACTCAGGAACTTTCCATTGCAGGTATATACAAAGTACAAACTGCCTACAGATCCATGAATCCATCAGATATGGGTATCAGCTTGCAGTTTAGTGGCCATCAAAGCTTGAAAACCCTCCTTACTGCTCAAAGGACTATTTCTGGGATTAAATGAAATCATGGTAAAGCTGATCCTAAAGATTTCATCAATGACTGCAATCACTGGAAACATGTGCCAAATCTAACTACCAGAAATAAGTGTAGCCAAATCTTATTTTGATGGACGTGAGAGCTATATTGGAGGCCTGGAGGGTGAGCTTTTATTCACTTTTTTAGATCAGTGAAATGTATAGGATTGGCTGGTGCCATAACTCGTGGATTATCATGGCTAGTTTTCTATATGATGCTTAATAGCAGTCTCTCCTTTCTGCTGGCCAACCCAATGTAAAGGATTACAAATGGGGCTATGACTATTGGTTAGAGATAGACCTTAGATAAAGCAGGTGGGACTAGAGAGGAGTCAGTTGTGGTCGTAATTTCAGAATAGTAGGAACTACTAGACCATAGAGTATTGAATTAATATAGGAAGTATACTTCAATTTTTTTATTTTATTTTTTTCTTTTTTTTTATGTGTGGGTGTTTGTCAACCTGGGCACCGTGCCGTGCCGTGCCGCCGCGGGCCGTGCCTGGCGGGCCACGGGCTGGTTTGTGCCGTGCCGGTCGTGCCGGCGGGCCCAGGATTTCGTGTCGTGCCGTGCCGGCCATTTTCACAGGCCAGCCAACGGCACGGCACGGCCCTCGTGCCTGGCGGGCTCGTGTCGTGCCGGCCACGTGCCGGCCTGCGGGCTGGTGCAGTTTTCAAATAATTTTTTTTTATTTTTTTTTTTTTATATGACAACATTATAAATTAATAAGTTTATAATGTATATAAGTTATAAAATTATAATTATAAGTTTTATAAGGTTATAACTTATAAGTTTATAACTTATAAGTTATTAAGTTATGAATTTTATAATTATAAGTTGAATATTTATGTTTTATAATTTGTATATTCAATATTTATATTTATATATTTACTTTATACTATTACTTTAAAATTTAATGTTTATGATTTATTAGTAATTGGTATAATTTTATTTTATTTTAATATGAATTTACAAATTGTAACAAAACGGGGAAAAAAGGCAAATTGGACTTTGGATGTGAATAATGCGTACTTTATATTATTATTACTTGAGTTGAGAAAATTGTACAATGATAACAATGATAAAAATCATACAATGATGGTATTAAACAAAAATTGGAAAATGATAAAATTGATATTTTTAAAATCGTACAATATACAATAATTGTCTATTCTTCTTCTCCTTCTTCTTGCTCGTCTTCGTCTTCGTCTTCGCCTTCGCCTTCAAGGTCATCGGCTAGTTGCATAGATTGGGAACTAGCCGAACCCGAACCGGAAGCGGAGGTTCCTTCTTCGTTGTCGTTGTGGTCGTAAGAACGGTCTTGTGAGCGATTTTCCGCATCCAACCAATCTTTGAAACACACGCACATTTCTAGTGTTTCGGGTTTTAGACTTGTTCTTCTATCGTCTAAAACCCTTCCGGATGCGCTGAAAGCTCGTTCGGAGGCGACGGAGGAAACTTGGATAGCAAGAATGTCTCGTGCCATTGCCGCCAAAGTTGGATGCTTCGAGCTTTGTTGTTTCCATCATGCAAGGAGGTCGAGGCTGTTTATCTCATCGTCGTCCATGCCTTTGGTGAAGTCGTAACTCAGGTACATCTGCAACTCCGAGACGTCGCTTTGCGTTCTCCTGATTGATGAATCACCTGAAAACCTTGAAATCAAGTTAGTAGCTTGTGAAAATAAATGTTTGGCCTTCTTACTTACGTTTTTGGATGGTTGGGAAGGCCCTGAGCGAGGAACGGTGCCATATTTGGCTTCATAGACTCTATATAAAGCAAAAAACTGATCCTTCACATTAGTCTTATAGTTTTCTACATCATCGTCAAGAAACATGCATTGAAAGTAAATGTCAACTAACATAAATGTGTTTTCATACTTTTGCCTAGGATCTAATATGGAAGCAAAAATATAAATCAAAGGAATCTCACTATAATATTTACGCCACTTTTTTTCCATTGCTGGAAGATACTGATCATAATCACTTTGATGGCGATGATCAGCGAAAAGTTGGGCGAGTAAGCATGCATTAGAAAGAAAGTTTTGAGCACAAGGATTGTAAACAGTAGAAAAACAATACGTGATGTTATATAATAACTGTAAAAATTGCATATATCTTTCACAGTTATTCCAATCATCATCATACAAAGCATTTTGTGGAAATTTTTGGTTGTAAAATAATGTTAACGGGCCCTTGTACTCAATTGCCTTTGTTAACATGTCATAGGTGGAATTCCACCTAGTTGGGCAATCGGTTCTAATTTTTATTACCCTTATCTTTTGTTGTTTTAGAAAACTTTTCCATTCTTGGTATCTCATGTTAGAGCTATTAATAGACATAATAGCATCTCTGATTTTGCTGTAGTATGGGCCAATTGCCCGAACTCCATCCTGTACACATAAGTTAAGTACATAGCAAACACATCTAGTATGAAGAGGTTCACCGTCTAATAGTACATCGATTAAGTTTTGTTTGATAAGATTAGCTGTGTATGTCATAGAGGTTGCATTATCAAAAGTCATAGACATCATTTTATCTCGAAGGTTGTATTCGTCTATTGCTTGCATTAAATGGTGAGCAATGTTAATGCCGGTGTGTGGGTATTCCAGCATTTTGAAATGTATAAATAGTGATATTTATAACCACTATCCCAAGAATCGGCTGTTAAAGATACTCTACAGTTAAGGTTACTCAATTCGGCTTGTAACCGGACTTTGTACTCTAGGAAATTTTTCATTGCGGCGGAACGAACGGTTTTCCTAGAGATTCTTTTATGTTGGGGTTGTAGTGCTTTGTTAATGTAGGTGTTGAATGCGTCACTTTCCGAGAAAAGAAAAGGTTGTTCAGCGTGTACTATCATTTTTCCTAGTTCATCCTTATCCCTCTCATAGTTGTATGTAAAGCCGTATGGATGGAATTGGGAAATTTTGGGCTGGGTTGGATCACTAGCTGGTTTTGCACAAGCTTTCATGTGTCTAGATAAGTGTCCCGTCCCGTTTTTGGTAACTGCCGTGAATACACTATTACATGTTTTACATTTTGCCCATTGTTCACCATCTTTACTTAGGACAAAATAACGCCATACCTCACTCCTTCGGTTTTTCAGAAGTAGCATCTCAGTTTCGGTTAACCATTCATGATGTGTGTGATGGTTAGTAGTGGGACTAGTGGGAGTGGCAGTAGAAGGGGTAGAACCGGAGGGAATTCGGGTACTTTCTTGGCTACCTTGGCTAGAACAATAGTTTTGTTGATCACCGATATAATTAGGTGGAAATTGGTATGGTGGTAGTGGAAATTGGTTTAGTGGTGGTGCTGGAAATCCCGACGTATTATATGGCTCATAGCCCGAGGGGAAGTAAATGGGGTCATTGGTTTGACTCGTAATTTGGGGGCTCGTTGTATTTGGTGGTTCCCTAAAACTACTACTACGGATAAGTCGGCCTTTCCCCCTAGACCTAGATGATGGGTTGTTCGATGCCATAATTAACAATTAATTTTTTAATAAAAAGTGGTTAACTATAATAATAATAATTAATAACAACAATTTTAACAATAAAAATATCAATAATAATAATTAATAACAACAACTATAACAATAACAATAACAACAAAAATAAATAATAACAACAATTGTAACAATAATAATAATTAATAACAACAATTATAACAACAACAATAACAATTAACAACAATAATAATTAAACAAGATTATTCTAATAATAACAATAAAACAATAATAAATTTAAGATTAGTTTAGATCTTACAACCGTGCTTCAACGCTCCACTAATTACGATTACGAACTTTTTAATTTTTTCCGATATTAGGAAAATAATTAGAGAATTTAAGAGAATAATTAGAGAATTTAAGAAAATAAGGATTATTAGAGATTTAGAGAATATAAGAGATAAGAAGAAGAGATTGTGATTTTGTGATTTGGGAATGAAATGGAGGTGAGTATTTATAGAATTTTTGGGGAGCAAATTGGCAACAAACTAGCCGTTTTTTAGCCGTTTTTTTGGCTTATTAAGGAGCTAGAATAAACGGTAACATTACCGTTGGCCCGCGGCCGTTCCGGGCCGTGCCTGCGGGCCGACACGACGGGGCAGCACGGCGGGCCATGGTCGTGCTCGTGCCGGGCCGGGCCTGGGAATTCTCAACCCTGTCCGTGGCACGGGAGTTGAACTTCGTGCCGTGCCGTGCTTGAATTCGGGCTGCGCCGAACGGCGGGCCGTGTCGGGCGGCACGCGGGCCAACCCGGCCCGTGCCCAGGTTTTTGTCTCTCTATTTATGTCCTTTCCTCCCTTCTCCAGCATACAGTGTGCCACTGGGTTATGGGATTAACCTTCTGGCCTGCAACATTTTAGTGATGATAAGTAGAAAGTTACAATCTTAATGATTCTCATCAGAATTGTACTTTTCATTTCAGATTTGCTGCAGCCTTAAAGGAACTGAAATTGTGGGTGATGAATGTAGCTCTTATTACTTGAATAGATACACTGCCGATTATATATGGACGAGGTTTATTTGGAATATAACATGGTGGTGTCAACTTAATCCAGGATCTTAGGATCGTTTTCATTCTTGATCATTTTCTGTGATCTCAGTAAAAGGTTTGTGAAGTATCTGCAGTAGTATTTATCACAGTTAATAGAAATGCTACCACATCTGGTATGATTTGTAACTGTAAACTAGTCTGTTCAGGTGTTACTTTTTGGCAGAATCTGACAGAATTAACTCTGGTAGTGAACGACGATGCTGAAACCATACTTGAGGTAGAGAGCATGGCCATATCCAGAAGACCCGGATCGCCTCATCTAAAGATAGTGAAGGATTGCTTTGTGTTCAGAAGACAAGATGGCATTCCTCTGCTGTTGAAACTATCACAACAGCTATAGTTTAGCTTTGAGCCTTTGATGCACTGTTTCTCATGGCTCGAAAATATATGCTGTTCTAGAATAGGTTCATGTTCTTATGTTGATTTAGAAGCATTGATTTCGAATAATGTATCTAAAGATTCTGCTCCCCTCTCGGCATAGAGGGGGTACAGTAACAGAAGTGTTTTTCAATAAACAAGGTCTTTGCATTTTAATGAATTATTTTTGTTTTTATTAGAGCCATTATAATCCAAAAGCAAAACACAGTGAAACTTTTACTCCTTAGATGATGAACAATAGTCCTGTCAAAAAAAAAAAGAAAGAAAAAAAGAAAAAAGATGATGAACAATGCCACTCCTCTCGAGCTGTTGAAGCAGACTTGAATTTTGATAGCATGTAATCGACCATAATAGTTCTAAATCTGAAACTTCAATGGCTATAACCAGCCATTAGTGATCTACATTCAATTCTATACAAAGGCATGCTGTGTTTTGGTTTATCTTTAAGTTAATATTGATTCCATGGTTTGGGTTTGATTGAAAGTTGAAATCCACCACACCCCGAGGTAAGAAAATCAATGCCTTGTGGGGTTTGAAGGATTAGGCCCTAAGGTTTGGGTTCGGTTGCTTCCAATTTCCAACTACATACCGATTCCAAAAATAATATTGAAGCAAACACCCCCATAATTAGCTTCACTACACATTCCATACCAATTACAACTCAAACTATGTTACTGCTTTGAGAATTAAGATATTCTGAAGACCAGTAGTAATAAGGCTAATAGCTGAAAATGGTCAAATGCATACACATATGCACCAGATTCGATTCTTTGAACAACTTTCAAAATTGGAATAACTCATTGCTAATTGTCTAATGTATACAAGGAGGTTACATAACTAATGCAAAAGATTTGAGTCCTCTGTTGGATCAACCAAAATTGACTTCAGTGATCAATCCTCGCGCATCCATGCTAGAAGCCTCACTTCAGACCGTCGCTCATGCCTGGTGGCATCCCTAAACTTTGGGCAAGATTGCTCATTTTGTCCTTCATTGCCTGACAAAAGAACATAACAACCTCAGAAATCTAGAATTAATAATTTCCCCATCATATTTCGTTTTTGCTGTTTCCTTCTTTGGTAATTGAAAGAGTAAACATGGTGTCTCACCAGCACGCTTTTCTGGTGTGCATCTTTGTATGCCTCGGTAACTAAAAGCGAGAGTTTCTGCATGAATGTAAGACAGTTGTTCAGTAAAAGAATAAGTGGATACAACAGAAAAAAGACCACCACATAATAATTAAAGCTCACTTCAGCTCCAAGTTCCATTGCAGCTTCAGTAATCTCAGTCCGAACAGGTTGTTGATTACCAGAAAGGGTTACCTAATAAAAAATTTAAAATAGAAAAAAATTAGATATGAAGATATAGCCAAAATGCCAAATGTACAGAGTCCAGAGAGGAAATACAAGTATTTGTAGTAAAAATTACACAGATATATAACATTAAAGAATGTAGCACACCCAAAGGCCATAGCTAATTCATATAAAGAGGTATCAAGTTACATTTTTCTTTTAATATATTATTTTCCCTGTGGAGAGAGTGGAATGGTAAATATTATGAGAAACAGCATACCTTTATGAGTTCATCTTCACAATAACCATCAAATTCTGCTCTGCAAGACCCAAAAAAATAACAAAAGAAACACTTGTGCTATAGATCAATACATTAAAATTAATATTCTGCTAAAAAAATTGTAAGAAATTAGCACATACGCTGCTAACTCTTTTTGCACTTTAACTGCTTCAACTTGGACAACCATTTGAGCCTTTTTGACTGTCTCGTACAGGTTTTGCATGTTGCCAAGTATTCCAGCCTACATTAGATCAAAAAGGTAAGTTTAGTAGTAACTCAATAATAGATAGATTGAGGGCATGTACACGCTACATCTCTATCAAAATGTCCCTACGTAAAAAAAGTTAGTTACATACTGTCCACAAAAGCATTGTGTTGAATAAAATAGAAAAGAAATTAGGATATACGTATTGCATGAAATTCTTTTCAGCCCATTTTATAGATACAAGTCCACTGTTGGGCCCAAAGCCTGGTGAAAAGCTGTTTATAGTAAGAGCAGATAATGGCTCTTCCAATTCCAGGTTATTCATATGCTTTTCGAATCCTTAATTAGATCTAGGTCCTGATAAATCTAATAATGCAATCTTCTTAGTGTATTTTGGAAAGTTTCTTATTGGAACTATACCTCAGTCCCAGGATAAAGATCAATCATTCTGTGATCTTATATCATTCTTTTTAAATCTCTTGATGTTTGGGGATGACGTCTTGATGATTATGTTTTCCATGCTTGATGTGCCCTGAAACCTGATGGAGTTTTTCCATGTGTTGGCTGTGAAGCTATTAAAAGATGGGAATCCTTGTATAAGTTAGGCAATGTTAGTCAAGCATATGATATATACACTAAGGCCCAGGGTTACCTAATAGGCTAATACGTAGTACGCTAAAATATGGGGAACGAGTACGAATTCACGATGCGCTAGGTGAGAGTATGGTAATATGTTTGAGGCTTTTTGGAGTCATAATATGATATGAACAATACACCCTAATAAATATTAAGGTTTTTTATCTAAAAAAAGGGGGATTTGGTATGAAAATCTGAAATTGGAGTTCGTAACAGAGACGGGAGTATTAGGTAACTATGAAAAAGAAACAAACTGAAGCATGAAGGCAAAAGAAGGAGCCCCCTCCTCCCAAGCCTCTAGGGCGTTTGTTGGAATAATGGAGACAAATAAACAAACCCCGCCCTTGTTGATCTATTCTTACTCTCTGCCACCCCTTCTCATTAATTTCTATCTCTTTGCATTAAGATATCACAACACGAGGAATACGCTAATTTGGGAGTATTAAAACACAAAAGTATTGAGTATTGGAACGTAGTAAGTATCAATATGGAATTCGCTGAGCGAAGGGAGTATTAGGTAACCCCGCTAAGGCCAACCAAAATTTCTGCCTTGAGGCAATCATTGGAATTTTAGTGGGTATGTTTGAGCAAACATCTGAAGTCTGATCTATAATCCTATGGCTAAACCAAAACAAAGAAAAGCCCTTCAGAAAAGCTACATCACATTCACAATTGGGAAGTGAAAGTTAAGTGGAGGCACTTGAAAATATATAATTCAAGGTAAAAGGTTGACTCCTATGGCATAGAGTTAAGTAGGAAGTCATCACTGTTGTTGAGGATCTGAGAAGTGAGGTGATCAAGGACATGGATGATATTGAATTTGCATATATACCCTCTAGATCTGGAAACAAAAGGGAAGACTTGCTAACTATCACTTAGTACCTGATGCTAATTGGTAATGGGATAGAGCCCATAGAGGACAATCTGCTAAACAATGATCAGAAATGTATCTCATAAGAATAAAGCAAGAAAACGAACATACGACTCATGTAGAGCTCCCTGATAAGAATAACAATGAGAATCCAAGTACAGAGGAAAAGAAAAAGTGAACCTCCACTTTGAGGATCCCAACCAGTAATATTGACTGGTTAAATGAAGGGAAGGAAGCTTTATACTCATACACCACAGTGACAGTTCCTACATCAAAGCTGCAAACAATTGGATTGCTAGAAGTCCCTCAAAAGCTAGTTTGAAAAGAACAACTCACCTTCAAGGCACCAATGGATAATCTCATTCAAAAAATACTCCTCTATACAGTTGTTTGAGGGTTACAGTACTCGTAGATGTCCCAGACCTCAAGATGTAAAGTAATTAGCCATGATGGTGCCGACCATATGTTCTTTAGAAAGCAGTCTCTTGTGGCACTGGATATGGATAATGTATTTGGCCACCATCATCCAATACCCAGTCATTTGCAAAATTCAAATTTACATCTCACAACAGAAGCAAGGTAAGCCTAATCGTACTGGCAAGCAAGCAGAAAGCTCAAGAACAATCCGTAACTGACAATCATGGAAAATAAGAGGTTTCAACACTCAGCTATCTAGCATTTCAAAATTATGTTGCTTTTGCGTAGGTGGCAAGCACGAGTTGAAAGCATCCCCAGCAAAGAAGATTGCTAGATTCAATCAAAGTCCTGGTCAATCAGGTGAGGAGTATGGGTGTTTAATATTAGATTCAAGTCTTCTAACTTTGTACTCACTGGGTGACAAGCACCAAAAAAAAAATGTCTACTATTTACACCCTAATTTGGCCAAAATAAAATCATGCCAAAGGCAGGTGAACTATAGACACAAGATGAGCTCACAAATTGTCCATGAAATCATTGAAATGCGTACAATACTTAAACCTACAGGGAGGCTCTGATTTTTCCAAGCAAACATATATGACAACTGCGACAAAGCATGAAGATATTCTGATACAACAGCATATAGAAATATAAGGAAAAGAAAGCTCACTTTTGATGAAGAGTCATCGCCCTTTTCGCTATCCTTTTTACCTCCAAATAAACCATATACACGTACTGATCTTGAGCTCTTCCCAGAGTTACTGTTCGTCCACACCAAACATGGACGGCCAATAGAATTAGCCTGACTATTTAACTTGCCTGTAAAAATAGTAAATGATTAGATTACATGACAATAAGATACTGCAAATTGCATACAACATCTATATGATGCATGGTAACGTTCAAACATAACCAAATAAGAGACTTGTGAAGATAGAAACACTAGATAACATTAATTAGCTGTCAGGCCCATCATACACATTTGAATAGACTAGTTGAGTTTATTACAGGTTTTTCAGTTGCATAGTTTAGGAGTATCCAACCACTCTAAGGCCTAAAATTGAAAACACCTTTGTTCATGGTTTAATAGCATCAACATTACAATCATCTATCTATTCCCAATTAAAAGTCTTTTTTTAACTTTTCTTCAATTTCATCTGTTTTCCAGCTTATGTTTGCGATTTTCCATCTTCTTCTCTAAGCTTCCATCCTCAAATACCCAATCTATGACACACACTTTCCCCATCCTTTACAAAACCCAACTCAGGACACAACTTTGCAACCAGAGAAATGCAAACTCAAAACCCCAAACTCTTTTTTTCACCAGGATATGACATCCTTACGGGATATAACTTCAATGATGGTACAAACATTGGCCAATTATGTCACAACTAGTTCAACAATGCTTTCCTCAGGCAGGCTTGAGGGTGATGTCGTGCCTTTTTTCGTTAATTACTACATTTCATGTTTATGTTCACAATATAATACTAATCTCTCTCTATCGAAGGGTTATTTTTTAAACAAATATTGGTTTATATTGACCTATATATTGAATTTAATTTCTCTCCTTGAAAGAGTTGGGGGCTACAGATTGATTTGTCAAAGGAGATTTGTGCAATGTTGGAGGAGATATCAATCACTCGTGTGCAATCAATTGAATTGATTCATTATGTTCGAAATCTACAATTAATCAATAAACCCCGTCTTAAAAAAAACCCAATCATCTATCTATCAATCACTCGTGGCCAATAGACAGCGTTTTACCCCTGGTTTTTTTTTTTAAAAAAAATTCAACTGGTAAACGCTGTCCCAGACAGCGTTTTACCTTCTGTATTTTTTTAAATTCAGTAGGGCATAAAACGCTGTCTCGAACAGCGTTTTATCCTTGGGTTTTTTTTAAAAAAAATTCAATGGGTAAAACGCTGTCCGAGACAGCGTTTTATGCCCTGTTTTTTTTTTTAAATGAAACGCTGTCCGGGACAGCGTTTCATGGCCATATATCAGCATGTTCACTTCAGCAGAATGCGCAAGAACTCAACCTCAACCTCAACGCTTTCCCTCCTCCCTCTCACACTAAACCACGACCGTACTCAAACACCCGCATTGCCGCCGCCGCCCACCCTTGCGCCACCGCTGCTGCCGCCACCTTGCTGCTGCCCTCCTCCCTCTCACACTCACTCACTCAATTTCGTGGTTAGCCCTAAACTGAATTTAGTGTAATTGCATAGTTATTGTGGTTAATTATTGTGAATTGTATGTAATTGCTCTTACTTGTTGTTAATTCATGTCAATTGCATGTAATTGTTGCTAATTATTAATGAAAATGTGGTACATTGTTGATAATTATTGATGGTGATGTGGTACATTGTTATTGAAATTGTTCATGACATTGGTGAAGTTGATGATGGTGAAAATGTTGAAGTTGTTAATGGTTGAAATTGGTGAGAAGAGATGAAATTGTTGAAATTATTGAAATAGTTTAGGTTGAAATTGTTGAAATAATTCAAATTGTTCATGAAATTGTTGAAATTGGTGAAGTTGTTGAAAGTGAAGTTGTTATAGGTGAGAAGTGTCTTATTTCAGTGTTGATAATTTACCTCGCTCTAGATTTCGATAATCCTAAAATGTGTTTTGGTTATGTAGAATATGGCGTCACAAAATGTAGTTTTGTTATGCCGGTGGGGAGGAGAAATTCTGTTTGATGGACCCCGGGTCGAGTATAGTGGGGGAAATATGGAACCACTAACACTAGAACCGAACATGACTATGAATGATTTGATGAATGAGGTTCATAGTAGTATTGGTTCAGACCCGATGACCGTTGACGTACACATTAAAATGAGGTTTGAGACCGGCAATGGGGTTCAAGTGTTACCGGTTTCTACGAATAAGCATGTGACTAACCGGCCCGCGAGCAAATGTAGTCGTTGTCACGTTCAGGGCCATAACCGGGCAACGTGTCCATCGAGACCCTCAGAGGACCCATGACTGTTAACTGAAATTCGTTGTAATCGTAGATGGAGGAATTATTTTGTAATAGAAAATTTTGATTTAATAACATTTGGAACATTTTGATTTAATAACATTTGGAACATTTGATCGTTAACATTTTGGTTAATTGCTAATGCGTTAACTCTGTTGGGATTTGTTAAATTGCATGTGAACAGATACGATGGACGGTGAAGATCGTACGCCTGGACCCGTTGACCCTTCTGTGCTTACACTACAGGGCACACACCGCAGCGTTGCCGTATGGGATCAGACGGTAATATTGCATTTGTTTGTTCATGGACTACAGCTTGTTGAGTTTATATGGTATATGATCTTAATTTCTTTCTAACAGGTTGATCCGGCAAAGCAGCTCGTTTGCAGGCATTACACCACCAGGTTCATGGTGGGGTGGGGAATCGATCCTCGCGTTTTGGCGTACGTCGAGTTTGTCGGTTTAGGTGGTTTTCACCGTATGGCGTATAGGGAGATCGATCGAGCGCTTGTCACTGCGCTCGCGGAGAGGTGGAGACAGGAGACGCACTCCTTCCACCTACCTGTTGGTGAGACGACCGTTACGTTACGGGACGTGGCGATTCTTACGCGCCTTCCAGTACATGGGTCTGCGGTGACAGGACACGCGTTAGTCGATCCCGTCGGTTTGGTTGGTCGGGTACTTGGTGTCCAGCCAGGTCCCGCTGATATTAGGGGATCCGGGTTGAGGACCGGCTGGGTCCGTGAGACTTTCCGTGAGCTACCACCAGGGGCTGATGACGCCCAGGTTCAGAGATACGCCCGGGCGTACTTGTTCTTCCTCATCTCGGGCGTGTTGTTCGGGAATAAGAGCGGGAGCCATCTCCAGCTCATTTACGTGCAGCTGTTGGACCACGACTGGGATCATATCCGAGGCTACAGCTGGGGTAGCGCCTGTCTGGCGACGTTGTATCGCCAGCTGTGCAGAGCATCCCACGTAGGTGCTAACGAGATTGGAGGTCCCCTGATTGTCCTCCAGGTACCTCACTTATTTCTGTACCAAAAAAACTATTTCACCACGCACTTACATATTTCATACTGAAGCTAGTTTTGTGTCTCTGTGTGCCAGTTCTGGGCTTGGGAGCATATCCATGTAGGCAGACCAGGCAGACCTGCGATACACCGTCGGGGGGAGCAGGACCAGGACGACCAGTACCAGGCGTACGATGCTCCCCCGCTCCCTACACCGGATGAGGCATATGGTTGCAGGTTCGATACAACTTTCATTGAGTTAGGCTTTATTTAATGCGCGGGGTTGTTAACTGAAACATTGTTCGATATTAGGTGGGTGGTACCCAGGCTGACACATGCTCATGCGGCGAGGGGTCTTCCGTATTACCGAGACGCCCTAGACCGACTCACCGAGGACCAGGTAACAATTTAAAATACAGTTTTAGCTTTTTTGTTTTAACATTGTACTTGTTGCGAACTAACATATTCATAATATTACTGTTGATGTGTATTTACAGGTGACATGGGACCCGTATGTACCTGACTTGGTAGATGCCATGCCTCCACATCTGCTAGACCATCAGGCGGAGTGGCGTGCTAGGGTCCCCCTGATCTGTTTCGAGGTTGTGGAGAGTCACCTGCCCGACCGAGTCATGAGGCAGTTTGGACTACGCCAGACTATCCCACAGGGGTGTGACACTAGTGTACAGCTTCACGGCATTGATCGTCGGGGAAAGGGGGAGACCAGCTGGGCGCTGGAGCATTGGCGTTTCCTTCAGCTATGGGAGCAACGGTTGGAGTTCATCGTTGGAGGTGATCTAATGCAGGGGGCTATGGATCCCGACGATCCGTACATGGTGTGGTACAGGCGTATCACACGACGCTTCATCAACCCCAGCTACGCACCACCATCCACACATTACCATCCAGCATATGACATCATTAGCGGATATGTGAGTTATTATTTTTCTACTCCTTTTCAACAATTTCCATATTTGTATGCCATAGATCTGACTGATCGATGATTACTGCAGGCGGCGGATATGGTGGCGATGGTTGATGCGCTATCAGTCTCCCTTGAGTGCGGACCCACTAGAGCCCAGGTCGAGCAGGTGCGAGATATGGGCGTCGCTACCTTACGGAGATATGGTCACGCTCATCTCGCCCACCGGCGGGACGGTCATGATGGCAACTCACAGTTCGATCTCGGCCAGAGCAGCGGTGGATGTGATCCTACGTCACCCAGACACGCAGAGGATTACAACATCCACAGTACTGCGCCCTCTGGTACCCAGGAGGACCCCTCGTCCAGTCAGCTGACTCCCCCACCGCCCCGAGACCCATTCACCACCGTCACTCATTACAGGCGGCGACGTGTCAGACGGAGGGCCGACACTCAGGAGGCAGGACCTTTACCCCGAATAAATGAGTCGGGCTAGTATTATCTGTTGTATTCCCTGTTATTTTGTGTAATGATGTACATAACACTTATGAAATTAATATAATAAATCTTTTTTGAATGACTCCGTGTGTGCTTTGAAGTTAATTTGGTGGTTGGACTGTTGTTGAGCTGTTTCGAGTTTTCTGCAGTGCTTAAAGTTGACGGAACTCCCAGAATATGGTGGTGTTACGTGGTGGGGAGTGGCGGAGTTGGTGGTCGACGGTGGTGGGGTAGGGCTGTGGAGCTGGCTGTTGTGGTGGCTGTTGGAGGACTGCAGCATGCAAGCTGTTTGCTGAAGCTTGTTTTCTGCCTGGATGCTGGTTGCTGTTTCCAGCAGAAAAGCGCTGTCTGAGACAGCGCTTTATGTTCAAGCATAAAGCGCTGTCTGAGACAGCGTTTTATGTTCAAGCATAAAGCGCTGTCTGAGATAGCGCTTTATGTTGAACATATAAAATAGTTGTAGTTGAATTTTTTTTAAAAAAAAAACCAGGGGTAAAACGCTGTCCGAGACAGCGATTTACCCTGGAAGCTTAGTTTGGTAAATAGTTTTGCCACGCAACCATTTTTGTCATTAGTTTACGTTTAGAGCTCAAATTGGAAAAACGTTCAAACTTAAAAGGTCTATAATTAAAAATCATGTATTCCAGTAAATGATAAACCTTTCAAGCAATAATGATTCATGCAAATTAATGATTGGAAAAAATGAAGCTAAAGCTAACACTATTATTCTATTAACATAATTGGCTTAAAAGAACCCTAAATTAAAACGATTAAAACCCCAAATCACAATATCATGAAGCAATTAACATTGTAAGAAATGAATTACAAATTACAATTGAATAAAAAAACAATCAAACATAATTGTTAGAGACTAAAATCAAAAATAATAAACAGGAGTTATAGAAGAGAGAGAGAGAGAGAAAGAGCTTACAGAAGGAGATTGAGGAAGAAGAAGCATGGTAGAATTTGAGGGTGTCATTGAATCTGGAATAAATTGGAAGTTTTGATGTGCTGAGGGGTGTGCTCGTGGACGCCATGGAAGGAGAGAGAGAGAATGACTGTGAGACTGTGAGTGGAAGAGAAGATAACCCCCAACCCCGTTATCGATGAAATGAAGAAAATACAAGTTATCAAATAAAATAAAATAAAATAAAAAATACTCGGATCTAGTAGTAGTATTTTTATAAATAAATCAGCAACTATTCAAAAATAATAATAATAATAAATAAATAAATCAGCAATTTTTATTAGAAAAAATTGTAAAAAATAATACAAAATTTGAACAATCCGCCAAAAACAAGTTAAACTTTTAATTATTTTTAATAATACAAACTTTGAGGGATATCCGCTTTAAATAAGTTAAAACCGATTAGTTACCTCATGAATAAGTTATATAGAACACGTGACATTGTATTATTTTTTTGAAATTATTAAACAACTTTATAAGATAAATAAAAAAATTAAAAAAATGGTTAAACAAGATGTAGGTAAAATAATTTGTTTAAAGCAGATATCCCTTAAAGTTTGTATTATTTAGAAATAATTAAAAATTTAACTTGTTTTTAACGGATCGCTCAAAATTTGTATTATTTTGACAATTTTTCCTTTTTGTTAAATACCGGTCCTATTAATATTGGATTATTCACGAAAATGTCATTCTAACTTAGATATTTTGTTAATTTAATTACAAAATTGCCATGAAGATAAAGGGATCTCAATGATGAAATATCTACATACTCGTTCTTGTTATCGTTCTAATGTCATTAATAAAAAGGAATACATGGTCTTTCATATTTATTTAATCGGATTTTATGATGTAAGACTATAATATTTATTTACATAATTCTAGAATATTGATGTTGAATGAATAGTGCGTTCTATGAATTGGTTTTGGGATTATCTCTTAAGATGGACTGCTAATGATGTAGTATGAATATTTCCGTAATAATATGTGTGTTTAACACTCTCTGTTAATCCTATTAATTACATCCATTTGAATTTTATTATGGTCTATAAGATGATTAAGATCAATATTTGCTTAAATGGTGTAATGGTAACTGAAATGATTAAAAACATATTTTTCAAAATTAAGGTTGCTAATAAAGCTGAAGCGAACAAGTATAATTGCACAATTAAATTGAGATTTCACTAAATATTGTTGATCAAGCTTACAATTTTTGCCTTTTCAATGGAGAAGGTTGTGTTGATCCTAAGTTGAATATGCAATCATTGATTATTCCTTCATTAATAACTTCTCTATACATTAGGTAAGTTCAGTCAGACCCGTATCTGACCCAGGACAGCTGGGGCGGTTGCCCAGGGCCTGCGGAAACTAAGGGCCCCAAATTTTGTTACTTCTAAGTTATTATTATGCACATATTCTTAGGTGCACACTCATGCACCTAGAAATAAGTGTAACAACAGCACAATATGAACATTAGCTTTTGAAAAAATAAACATTAGCTTTCTTCTCCTCTATTTTTCTCCTTCGTTTTTTATTTTCTCTCTCCTCTGTTTTTTCCCCCTTTTTTACACTTTTTTTTATTGAATTTGTTTCTTACAACATGAAAGTAGTTATTAAGTATGAATTTTTTTGTGAACTTCGATTTTGTGCTTTAATTTCGATTGATTAAGGTTTATATGAATCTTTGAATTCACAAATTATACTCTGTTTTTTCTCCTTCCTTCTTTAATTCTTTTTCCTCTATTTTTTTTCTATTTTTCTCGTTTTGTTTTGATTTATCGATTGAATCTGTTCCTTACAATATGGAATTGGTTGTTTATCTGATTTTTTGAATTCATATGAATTGATTTTTTTTAGCTTTGATCAATTTCATATGTGTTTCATCTGATTTTCTTCATTTTTTTTTTATCAATGAACATAATCATGCAAAATATGAACATATGCATAGGTTCTTTAAATATGCGTAAAAAATATGAACATATGCTATTAAGAAAGAGAACATATGCATAAACAGACTTAATCAGTATATTTATGAACAATAAATATTTACTATGAATATTTACATTATGAACATATAAAATATTATTATGAATATAAGGCAATTAATTATGAACATAAAAAAATTGAAGAAATAAAAAATAAATATGATTATGAAACATATGCATCATACGTATTCAAAATATGAACATATGCATTCAAAATATGAACGTATGAATTGGTTCATTTTTTAATGCGTATGAACATAATTAAGCATTTCAGAAGGTGAACATATACATAAGAAATATGAACATATGGATTTAGAAAGTGAATATATACATTTCAGAAAGTTTACAAAAGGATTCAGTATATGAACATAAGAATTCAAAATATGAACATATGCATTTCAAAATGTGAACATAAGGTATCTGTTTGATTTCACTATTTTTTTTTTTGACAATTCCAATAAAAAATTTCGAACAATAGAGTATCGAACAATATTCAAACAAAATTAAGTGATAACCATATAAATTCAAACAAAATTGAGTGAAACTTACATAAAATTGCCTTTTTTTTTAGGGAGGATCATTTTGATTTTGCATCTCTTCTCTAATGTCCATTGATGTTTTTGCAGTTTTTTAGTGAGATAAAATGAAATAGAGGAGAGAGAAAGTGAAAAAGAGGAGAGAGAAAATCATATAGAAGAAGAAGAGTTTTGAGGTTGGAAGTGATGTTACATTTATTGGGTGTGGGTGTGTTTGCAGTTTTCATGTTTTTCTAGTTTTAGGGCTTTTCTTAATTGGATTATGTGTAATTGGGTTTTTGGGCTGTGTTGTTACACCTATCTAAGGTGCACCTAATTGATTATTATGTAAGGTTATGTTGGTCCTAAGTTGAATATGCAATCATTTATTATTCCATCATTAATAACTTCACTATATATTAGGTAAGTTCAGTCAGCCCTGAATCTGACCTAGGGCAGCCGGGGCGGTTGCCCAGGGCCTGCGGAAACTAAGGGCCCCAAATTTTGTTACTTTTTTTTTTTTGAATAGTTGTTACTTCTAAGTTATTAATATGTATTTATAACAAATTACGTTATACATGGTAATATTGTTGTGAGCGTGGCTTGATGGGTTTTTTTCACTTTTTTGATTTGGTGAGTTTTACATCATGCTATGTGGCAGGTCGTGTGTACGATGATACTTAGCTTGTATTCTTCCCTTTTATTTTTTATTTTTTTTCTTTTCTCTTGGGTGATTTCCTTTTCAAACAAGGTATTTTTTTAACTCATTCTGCGACTTTTTATTATCTTAATCAAAAAAATAATTTTTTGTTTCATTTTCTATCATATCTATAGTTCACACAAGTGTTTCACTATGTATAGCTCATATCAAATTTCATAGTTTAATTTATCAATTTTTAATTAACTAGTGGAGAACATTTTGCATTTTCTATTTATTTATTTTAATATTACTGTACCCAATTAATTGTTTGTAATCAAGTAAAATTGCTAAGATACTAGATAATGAACAGAATAGTGACCAATATCATTTGTTAGAGAGGTGAGTTAAACAATTGTATCTGCATAGGTTGTCGACAACCTTTGTACGAATTAAATATGTACATTATTTTATTTTGATATATAAGTATATATATGCTATAACTTTTTTTTAATAAATAATAACAAAATATTATTTTATATTTGTAGCCTATATATAGTTCAATTTTTAATATTCTTAGGATTTGTTTTTATTTTACAACAACTAAATAAAATTGGATTATTTGTTTCAAGTAATAATATAATGAAATTTCCTTCTACATAAGGAAAAAAAATACATACTATTATTATTCAAAAATTTATAAGTCCCTAATATTTGGACAAAATAATATACATATCCACGTTTTTTGAGAACTTTTGGAGGTTTCGGGGTAAGATGTCGAAAAGCCTTGAGATTTTAGGGAATACAACTCGGAGTCATATAATGATGTTTGAACCATATATGATCATTATATGCTGCCATAAATGTTCGTGGTAGACTTGATTTAATGACATTGGTGCAAGTTGTAAACCGGTAAATTGGTTGTTTAAAGGCAAATTGGATGGTTGCACCCACCCAATTGGACTCCCGGAGGGTATTAAGGACCATGGTAAACATTTTGGCAATTTTTATTTTCGGGCGAAAAAAGTCAAAATTTTCTAAAATTGAAGGTTAATGTTCACACTTTTTGAAATTTTTTGGAGTTTTTCGGGTCCGGTGTCAAAAAGTCTTGAGATTTTTGGGAATATATATGGGTCATATAATGACGTTTGGAACCATATATGACCATTATATGTTGTCATAGATGTTCGTGGTAGGCTTAAGTTAATAAAATCGGTGCAAGTTGTAAACCGGTAAATTGGCCGTTTAAAGGAAAATTTATATTGGATGGTTTCACCCACCCAATTAGACTCCCAGAGGGTATTAGGGACCATGGTAAATATTTCGGGATTTTTTTTTTCGGGAGAAAAAAAAAATTCCAAAATTGAAGGCTTAATATCCACGTTTTTGAGAAATTTTGCAGGTTTCGAGGCTCGGTGTAGACAAGCCTTTAAATATTAGGGGATACATCTAGGGGTCATATAATGCCGTTTGGAACCATTTTTTATTATTATATGCTATTATAAATGTTCGTGATAGGCTTGATTTAATGTAATCGGTGCAAGTTGTAAACAGGTAAATTGGTCGTTTAAAGGAAAATTGGATGGTTTCACCCACCCAATTGGACTTCCGGAGGGTATTAGAAACCATGGTAAAAATTTCGGAAATTTTATTTGCGGGCGATAAAAAGTCAAAAAATTCAAAATTGAAGGCTTATATCCACGATTTTTGAGAAATTTTGGAGGTTTTGGGGCACGGTGTCGAAAAGCCTTGAGATTTTAGGGTATACATCTCGGTGTCATATAATGACGTTTGGAACCATATATGATCATTATATGTTGTCATAAATGTTCGTGGTATGTAGGCTTGATTTAATGAAATCGGTGCAAGTTTTAAATCGGTAAATTGGTCGTTTAAAGGCAAATTGGACTGTTCCACCCACCCAATTGGAATCCCGGGGGTATTAGTGAACATGGTTAACATTTCAGCAATTTTTTATTTCCGAGCGAAAAAAAAAAGTCGAAAATTAAAAAATTGAAGGCTAATAT